ATTTAACTCAATTCTGACATGTACGTGGAGACAGTGTCAGATCCCGCAGATTAAGGACTCAGTCCTGCAGGACTGCCCCAAGCTCATTTCAGATGCCAATCACAAGTCCAGATTGCTCAGTGTAGTTTGGACAGGTAGGTTATAAAGCTGACGGTCTTGTCACCTCCTTCTCTGGTTTAATTCATTTGCTAGAGTAGTATGCAGAATTCAGGGAAACACATTTACCAGTTTATTAGAGAGTATGATAAAGGATATGGGTGTAGATGAGGTTTGGAAGGATTCCAAGAGCAGGAGTTCACATCCCCGTGAATTCAGGGTGATACCATCCGAGGTTATGCGTGTGTTCTCCCACCTGGAAGCTCTCTGCACCCCATACTTTCAGTAATTTTACCTCACACTGGTGTGATTGATCATCCATTCCACTTACAGCCCCTCTCTCTTCTCAAGAGCATAGGAAGTAGGACTAAAAATTTCAACCTTCTAATTATGGCCTGGTCTTTCCAGGGTCAGCCCTCATCTGGGTGCTTCTGCTCCCCCATATATACTGAGTTGCTTATCAGAACAAAGACACACTATGGTCCAGGAAATCACAAGAGTTTTAGAACTCAGTGCCAGGATCGGGGGAGAGAGCAAGGTGTACTTTTTCTTTCCTCTTACACTACTGTTATATTGAAACTTTTGGTTAACACCTTCTATTTAGTTTTCCCCATCTGCCAAATGTGCATATAACATAAATCTATTTTCTGTGTCTCGGGCAGCTCTTACTCTAAATGAATGAACACATGATAAATCAGCAAACAGGGAGGAAAGGGAGTCCTGTTTATTATGTTGGTTGGAAATGAGAGAGGGGAGCAGAGAGATTTAATGTCTTCATTAATCATATATTGAGTCAAATTTAACAGCTTTAGAATGGCATTTAATAATTCTGACTGCATATTAGAATTAACTGGGAAGCCATTTTAAGAAAAAGTAATTATTACACTCTAGGTTCTGATTCAAGTGATAGAGAAGGTGGAATCTGAGCATGAAAAGCTTTTTCAAAGCTTCTCATGTTGATTCTATTATGCAGCCAAGACTGAGAAGCACTTTCTTGGAACAGCATTCTACTACAAACTGGGTGAAAATGGTATCATAGAAGGTAGGTCTTGGTTGTGACTAAGAACCAAGCTCTATATTCTGGAACCCATGTTCAATGGGTTTCTCATCACGCTTGTGGTCTAAGGGGAGGAACTCTTGGATACAAGATGAAAATCATTGAATAGCAGGTTAGAGGAGCTTTCAAAACTCACCTAACTCTCATCTTCTTCAGCACTGTGTGAGCACTGGCTATTCAGTTCATGTCTCCAGGCTTTTTTTCCCCAGTCCATTAAATGAACAGGTTAGAGTGAACAAACTCAGGGGTAAGTTCTATGAGCCTAAGACTCTAAAACATCTATGATTATTTCTAAGCTAGTTTTCAAGCAGCTCAGCAAAGAGAGGTTGAATTTGCACTGTCAGGTTGGCATTCTCTGCTCACTTCTTGTCTGAGTCACTCTGGGAAGCCTTTACAGACACAGGCCCTTCCATCTCTGCTGCCCACCAGATGCCATCTGGACCTATGAGTGGCAGCTAAATCTCACCCTTGGGGATCTCTGCACCCAGTCATTTTTGGCAGGAGAAGGGCTTTCATGTGATTTTTGCAAAGGCGGCCCATGAATTGCAGGGGCGGACTCTCACTGATCTGTCTGCTCCCCAGCAAACACATGGCCTGACCACTGATCGTATCTGCAGAGGAAGTGGTGGAATGTGGAAGTTTACTCAACATCAGTACATGCACATCCTCCAGTCTTGAGCCTGGGTGGGGTGTGGGGGGTGTGGGAGGTGGCAATTGTGAGCAAGAGCTGCTGCACCAGGGCTCTCCTGGTCTTCCCACTCTCAGCAACCTTGGCTGCTTCTAAATTTCCTGCTTTGTGCTTTTCTGAGTGGAGGCCTTCTAAGCAAGGCCTAGAACATTATCCTGATATAAATAAAAGCATTTACTGCTTACATCCTCTGCAGCTGTCTCTGTACTGAGAATGCTACACACAGTCCATCTCTCTCAGACCATGGGACCAAAAGCAATTGGCAGGGAATTGCTATGGTTTGCAAGTTCACGTCTCCCCTACTACACATCTACACACACCAACAAATTCACAAGTAGAAATCCTAACCCCCCCAAAGATGATGTATCAGGAGGCAAGGCATTTGGGATGTAAGTCATAAGGAGGAAGCCCTATTGAATGGGATTAGTGATTTATAAAAGATTTTTAGAAAGGACCTCCCAGAGGTTCTTGGCCCCTTCTACCACCTTCTTGAGGATATAAGAAATCTGCAGCCCAGAACAGGGACCTCTTCCAACCCTGATCTTGAACTTCTAGTGTTCAGAGCAATGGGAAACACATTTCTGTTTTTTATAAGCCACAGAATCTTTGGCATTTGTTACAGAAGCCTGAGCGGGCTCATGCCCCAGCCCCCTAATAAAAATGCCCTGCTCGGGAGTATAATGGACCAGG